TCAAAAAAAAAAAAAAAAAAGAAACATAAAGATGCATTCTGTGTTTAATAGTTAACATATATTTCTAGCTATAAGATCATACTGTTAGTGAAAAGTGATAGTTTGACCTCCTATTTCTCCATTTGGATACCCTTTATTTCTTTCTCTTTGCCTGACTGCTCTGTCTAGGACTTCTAGCACTATGTTGAAAAGGAGTAGTAACAATGGGCACCCTTGTCTTGTTCGAGTTCTCAGGGAGGATGCTTTCAATTTTTCCCCATTCAGTATGATATTGGTTGTGGCTTTGTCATATATGCCTTTTATAATTTTGAGATGTCTTTTTTTGTTGCCTCTTTGTTGAGGATTTTTATCATGAAAGGGTACTGGATTTTTGTCAAATGCTTTTTCTACATCTGTTGAGATAATCATAGGGGCGTTGTTTTTGCTTGTGTTTTTGTGGTGAATCACATTTATTGATTTATGTATGTTGAACCATCATTGCATCCCTGGGATGAAGCCTACTTAATCATGGTGGATTATTTTTTTGATGTGCTATTGAATTCGGTTTGCGAATATCTTATTGAGGATTTTTGCATCTGCATTCATTCGTAAGGGATACAGGTCTGTAGTTTTCTTCTTCTGTTATCCTTTTTCCTGGTTTTGGTATCAAGGTGATACTGGCTTCATAGAATAAGTTGGGAAGGAGTCTCTCCTTCTCGATGTCATGGAATAATTTCTGCAGTATGGGTACTAACTCTTCTTTGTAGGTCTGGTAAAATGCAGCCTTGAATCCATGTCAGCCAGGGCTGTTTGTTTGTTTTGTTTTGTGTTTTTTTTTTGGAAGATTTTTTTATTACTGTTTTGACCTTGCAGACTCCTGCAAATGATAAATAAATTCAGCAAAGTCTCAGATTACAAAATTAATGTACACAAATCAGTAACATTCTCATATACCAATAACAGTCAAGCTGAGAGTCAAATCAAAGACTCAAACCCATTCACAATAGCTACAAAGAAAATAAAATACTTAGGAATATACTTAACCAAGGAGGTGAAATACCTCTACAAGGAGAGCTATGAAACACTGAGGAAAGAAATCACAAATGACACAAATAAATGAAAATAGATATCATGTTCATGGATCAATAGAATCAACATTGTTTAAATGTCCATACTGCCCCAAGTGATTTTCATATTTAATGCAATCCCCATCAGTACCAATGTCATATTTCACAGATCTAGAAAAATTCCACTCTTTGTGTGGAACCAAAAAAGAGTCCAAATAGCCAAAGCAATCTTAAAACAAAAAGAACAAATCTGAAGACATCACTTTACCAGACTTCAAGCTATACTACATGGCTATAGTAACCAAAACAGCATTGTATTGGTACAAAAATGGAGACATAGACCAATGGAATAGAACAGAGAACCTGATATAAAAGCACCTACCTACAACCAACTAATCTTTGAAAAAGCAGACAACAACATACACTGGGGAAAAGAAGCCCTATAAATGGCTGGGAAAATCGGATAGCCAAATGCAGAAGGATGAAGCAGGGCCCCACCTCTCACCACTCACAAAAATTAATTCAGATGAATAAAAGACTTAAATGTAAAGCATGAAACCATAAAAATTCTAGAAGAAAATGTAGGAAAAACTCTTCTAGATAACAGCCTAGGGAAAGAATTTATGACTAAGACCCCAAAGACAATTACAGCAAGAACCAAAATAAATAAATGGGACTTGATTAAATTAAAAAGCTCCTGCACAGCTAAGGAAATAATCAACAGAGCAAAGACAACCTACAAAATGGGAGAGAAAATTTGCAAACTACACATCCAATAAAGATCTAATATCCAGAATCTATGAAGAACTCAAACAAATCAGCAAGAAAATGAAAACAATCCTTTTAAGAAGTGGGCAAAACACATTAACAGAATTGTTTCCAAAGAAGACAGACAAATGGCCAAGAAACATATGAAAAAATGCTTCACATCATTACTCATCAGGGAAGTGCAAATGAAAATCACAATGAACTATCACCTTACCCCTGTCACAATGACTTTTATTAAAACATCCAAAACCAGTAGATGCTGGCATGGATGCAGAGAGAAAGGAATGCTTATACACTGTGGGTGGGACTACAAAGTACAACCTGTATAGAAAACAGTATGGAGATTTCTCAAAGAACTGAAAGTAGACCTTCCATTCAATCTAGCAATCCCACTACTAGGTATCTACCCAAAGGAAAAGAAGTCATTTTATCAAAAAGACACTTGCACTAGAATGTTTTTTGCAGCACAATTCACAATTGCCAAGATGTGGAATCAGCCCAAGTGCCCATCAATTCACAAGTAGATTAACAAAATGTGGTACATATATATACCATGGAGTACTACTCAGCCATAAAAAGAAATGAATTAATGTATTTCTCAGCAATTTGGATGAAACTGACGGCCATTATCTTAAATGAAGTATCTCAAGAATGGAGAGACAAACACTGCATGTATTCTCTAATGATTTGGAACTCACTGATTGGCACACATGGGCATAGAAAGAAGTAAAAATCATTGGAAATCAAGAAGAGGAGAGGGGGAAGAAGGAGAGGGTTAAAAGCCTACCTAACTGAAACAATGAATACTATTCGAATGATGGACACATTTAAAGCCCTGAGTTAAGCATTGTAAAAACTATCCATGTAACAAAAAACATTTGTACCCCTTTAATATTTTGAAATTTAAAAAATTAAAAAATAAAAAGAGAAAAAATTGTTAACATATACTATTTCATCAAAGGCTCTGAACTTTTGGATATCAAAATAAAAGTTATATTTCCCTTCTGATGAGCAAAATAATCAAATAATCATTCTGATAATTTGACTTTTCTGATACCCAATGCATGTAAAGAAATGAAGACTGCACTTCCTATTTCTTTCCCATTGACCAAGTTTATTTAGAAGTTTTAACAACAGTGAAAATTCAGCTGAGAGAGTAAAAACATGGCAAAGAAAATAGATTTTTTTTTTCCAAATGGGAGAGTTAAGTCCTGAACACTTAAGATTTTGAAATATTGCTCTGTGTGTGTCAAGTTTGGGCAGTCATTTTCTTCTTTGAAAATCATGCTCTCCAGTAGTAGAACCATGGTTTTGTTTTTAAGTAATCTTTTAAAAATCTAATTATAAAATTAAAGTAGGTTTATTATAAAAATTTCACATATTATAAAAATATATAACTTTGAAAATATGTCTTATAATTCTACTCCTAGAGATGTGTGTGTTTATTTACAGAAAGATGATTATGAAATATGCAATTCTGCAACTTGGTTTTTCATATAAAAAATATTCTGGTCACATTTCCATATCAGTATGTATGGCTCTAAAGTATTTTTCTTAAAAAATAGATAGCTTACTTTTTGAATAAATATCAAACAGAAAGTCAGTAGTTATTAATAGGATGTTGTAAGAGATAGCATGAATGAATAAACTGTAAAAGCATCAGATAGACCTAAATATATATCCTAGTTCTGGTATCTAACTGTATAAACTTAGACATGTCAATTACTCCATGACCTTTGGGTTAACTCACTTATAAAATTCAATAAAATCTATCTTACAAAGCTGTGGAATATATGATGAGAAAACTCACATAAGGTACCAGGCTCATGGGAGCCATTTGACTTAGTTCTTCTCTTACCCTTTGTAGGCTTTGCAATTGACCTATGCAAATTCTCCCACCACTTTCCAAAATAAGTATAAGCCTACCAACCCATTGGAGATACTGAGAAACAAACAAAGTTTTTAAAGTATCAGTGTTCAGAATTCTTAGAGGATCATTTGTCAGTATAAAAAAAATTATTACCATTAAAAGAATATCAAATCTAAAACAAAATGCATATACATGAATCTCTCTAGTTTATCCAAGCATATGTTCTGTAAAATACCAGGTTCTGCATGTTAACAATTTGAACTTGCCGGGAATCACTTGTCCAGGATAGAAACAGTGACAAACAAATGTTTTATAAAAATGTATAACTTTTTATTTTCTTAAGGATGGGATGCTGTTATGGACTGGAAAGATGTCCTGTCAGGAGGGGAAAAGCAGAGGATGGGCATGGCTCGCATGTTCTATCATAAGTAAGTATGCTATATTCAGGCACTCAGGTAACTACTATTCCATTATTGTAACCAAGAAAAAAAAGTGTTTGGACTGGATTCAATGTCTTCATCCTTATTTGAAAAATATCTTGACTATAAAACTAATGTGGGCCCCGGCGCGGTGGCTCACTCCTGTAATCCTAGCTCTCTGGAAGGCCGAGGCAGGCGGATCGTTTGAGCTCAGGAGTTCTAAACCAGCCTGAGCAAGAGCAAGACCCCTTCTCTACTATAAATAGAAAGAAATTAATTGGCCAACTAATATATGTAGAAAAAAATTAGCCGGGCAAGGTGGCGCATGCCTGTAGTCCCAGCTACTCAGGAGGCTGAGGCAGGAGGATTGCTTGAGCCCAGGAGTTTGAGGTTGCTGTGAGCTACACTGACACCATGGCACTCACTGTAGTCTGGGCAACAAGGTGAGACTCTGTCTCAAAAAAACAAAACAAAACAAAAAAAAAAACTAATGTGTAGAGTTTACAGTTTTTAAATCTCTTATTTTTTTCTTGTGGCAGAATCTCCAAATATTTTATGTTTTTCTCTCTTTTAGGTTGAGTAACATTAGATGAAATAATGTCCAAAGGACTAAGTTAAATTTTTATGTATCCTGTGTTTGAAAGTAGAATTATTACTAATTTTATAATGTGAAGAATACATAACTACTAGTATACTGGTGTAAACCCAGTAGGTAGACATTCTAATACTTCTAACTTAAAGTATTAAGTTCAAACTAAATCAACTTTTTAACCATCCAGTAGCCCATTAAATTGGTAGTGGTTTCCTACTCAAAAATCAAAGGCATACCCAGTGGAAAAAAGAACCAGCCCATAGGGTATTAATGGACTCAGAAAAATTGAGGTGAAAGAAATAATTTCTTTGGATAAAACTTTTCTTTTTGTGACCAGCTTCATAATCTTTTGAGTTTAAGTGTACTAAGCACAACACATGGGAAAGCAATATGAAAGCCATTCTGATTTCTTCCTTTTATTTGTCCCATTCTCTGAAAAAGAAAATCTTTTTTTTTTTTTTAATGTTAATTCTCTGGCAATGAGAACTTGAGTTGTGGAGTGCAGTAGGTTGTCAGAAACTATGTTACTCAATTTTAGTACTTAAATCTTCAGCAAAAAGGGCCAAGAGTTATGTATATAAATGCAAGAATAGGCCATAAGTTGGAGCAGATGCAACACCATTGAGTGAGTTGCACTGGAAACAGTGATACTTTTGTAGAGAACTTTAAAAAGCTAATAAAGAAAGCAGATAATATATCAAGGGTTCATTATAAAACACTTAGAGACTAGGTAGACCACACTTAGCAGTCAGTTGGCTATCAATTTTTTTTAAAAAACAAAACCTTTAATTATGGAAAAATTATCAAAATTTCATCAAAAAAGAGAAATTGTAGAATGAAGCCCGTATACCCATCACACTGATTCAACAAGTCTGACATTTTGCTACACCTGATTTATCTAGTATCTTTTTTTATTTCTGAAGTATTTTAACATAAATCCCAGATATTATGACTTCTTTTTTCCCGAAATACTTTGGCAATAATCTCTGAAATATTAGGATATTTTCTTACATAACAGCATGTCATAATACTACTAAATTAATCTGATAATAATTATTTAAAATCATTTAATACTTGGTTCATATTCAGAGTTTTCCTGGTTGTCTCAAGAATGTCCTTTTACACTTGGCTTATTCAAACCACAATCTAAACAAGTTTCTTTCTTCTTTTTTCTTTTCTCTCTTTCTTTTTCTCTTTTTTCTTTCTTTCTTTCTTTTTTTTTTTTGAGCCAGAGTCTTGCTCTATTGCCCAGGCTAGAGTGTCATGGCGTTACAGCAACCTCAAACTCGTAGGCTCAAGCGATCCTCTTGCCTCAGCCTCCTGATCGGCTGGGACTACAGGTGTGCCCATCTAACTTTTTTCTACTTTTTAGTAGCCTGGCTAATTTCTCTCTATTTTTACTAGAGATGGGGTCTCGCTCTTGCTGAGCCTGGTACCGAACTCCTGACCTCTAGTGATCTCTCAGCCTTGGCTTCCCAGAGTACTAAGATTACAGACATAAGCCACCACACCCAGCCCTAAACAAGTTTCACACATTGTATTTGGTTGTTATATCTCTTAATTCTATTTAGTGGTTTATTTATAAGAGATAAGGTCTCACTCTGTTGCCTAGGCTGGCATGCAGTGGCGTGATTGTAGCTCACTGCAGCCTTGAACTCTTGGGCTCAAGCGATCCTCCTGCCTCAGCCTCCCCAGTTGTTGGGACTACCAATGAGTGCCACCATGCTTGGCTATTTTTTTTTTATTTTTTTTTTTTCTTTTAGAGGCAGTCAGGCTATGTTGCCCAGGCTTGTCTCTTGCTCCTCTTAATTCTTTTTTAATCTTAAGAGTCTCTCCTCCCTGACCTCCACCTACTTTTTATATCATTGACTCATTGAAGAAACCAGGTCAGTTGTCGGTTGTCCTGTAGAATGTTGCCTGTTCTAGATTTACCTGATTGCTTCCTTCTGCAATCCTTTATCTTGTTCCCCACTCTCCTATTTTTCCTATAAACTGGAAATTAGAGCAAAAAGTTTGATGAGATTTAGCCTTTTTAATAAGATCAGAACATAGAATGTTTATCATTTTTAAAAGAATGTATGATTTAAACAATTTTATTTTTTATTCACTGCTGAGTTGTACAGAAAACAATTTTTTAAAAATATAATTATAATTTTATTTTATAAAAGGAAAAAATGTAGGTAGGTAAAAAGAATAAATGTTATCTCATTAGCTATAATGCTATTAAAATTTTACACATTTTAAATTATCCAAATTTTAAATTAATGTAAAGTTTAAGCACATTTAAAATTTGGGGGTAAGTTTCTTCCCACTGTTGTGGGTATATAAAAGTTGGCTGTTATCTTGATTGTTTTAAGGTAGCTATTTTCATAAGGGATATTATAGTTTATATCCCTCTTTTTATTTCTTATGTTATTATGTGCTTTTCTATATTATTATATATTAGCTAGCCAGAGCTTATTATTATAATAAAATTTATGTACCAAGTGCACAAATTTTAACTATACAATTTAATAACTTTTTGTGAATGCATCTGCATTATGTAACCAACACCCCAATCAAGATAGAGAAAATTTCTATCACACTAGAAATTCTCTCATGCTCTTTCCAATCAAATACCCCTATAGAAAATTCCTGTTCTGATTTTTATCATCATAAATTAGTTTTGCCTGTTATACAACTTGATATAAATGAAATCAAACACTCTATATTATTTTTGTGTCTAGCTGGGATTTTTTTTAGTGAGAAAAATTATTAGTTGTGATAATTACATGTTATTTATAATAATGTACACAGTTACTTTAAGAATATGGTGAGCTAAAAAGGAACTAAATTTTGCTAACTTGGGATTTTTAATGAAGTGTATTTTGGAATGCCCCTTTCTCACATGATGTGGTGAGATTGAAAAGTAAACTTTACAGTTTGACATTTATAACCAGCTGGTACCCACAATCGCCCTGAATTGTTTGGGTCTTGGCCATAAATATTCAGTAATATGATCACCAGCATAGTTAGTGAAATGTAATGTCGAGGAATGTAAAATGTAACCATAAATTTCTCATTGTGTCAGTACGGTAATAAAATAAACCTTGTAATAAAGAGCAAGAGGCATTAATAAAAGATGCCAACCCAAAGAGATTTCAAGTACCTGTAACTTCAAATAAATAGTTGGTATTTATGTATCTAAAATATTTTGGATATAATGTGATAATGTGTGACAATAAGTCACAAGTATATCAGTGGAAACAAAATTTAATGAGCCATAGGAAGATCAACGGAGATGAGCAAGTATTTGAAAGCAGAATCTTTTGAGAAAAGATAAAAAGGAATTAGAAGCACGAAATCCAGCAAAGGGAAAGTATAATAGTGGGAAACTGCCTCCCCTCATCCTCAAAGGATGAACATTAATGTTTGAATTGTAAAGGGAAAGACTTGAGCTGACTAAAATGAAGAACTTTTGCAGGGAGTACTAAGCATCACAATAGGATACACTTTTTGAGAGGATTTTAATTTTAATGTTTAAAGAATGATTGTTAAAGTCCTGTCTTAAGGGGGATAAATTAGGTTAGGCACATAGCCCATTCTATTCATGATACACCAAAGGAAAAGAGGAAGGAAAATCTGAGAAACAATATTATCTAATGCTTTATTTACTTGTATAAGTACCAGATTCCAGCTATTGCTTGGTATACTTAGGTACATACTACACACACACACACACACACACACACACACACACACACACTTCAGTCCTGCCAAGGAAATAAAAGTGTGTGAGCTGTCTTACATCTGCTAGCCTAGAGGTTGCTATGACAACGAAGTATAAGATATGTACTTTTTTCTAATTCTATAATGGCATCTCTTCTCTGTTTAGCTCAAAGCACTCTGAAAAGTAGGACAAGATACAAGATGCAAATTAGTTACTGGAAAGAGCTTTACACAAAAAGAAAAATATACCCAAACCTGTTTATTATACTTCCTTTTCTTTTTCCTTTTTTCCACTTAAAAAACATCATCCATATAATAGTAATACACTCTGAGACAAAGAAGTAATGTTTAATACTTAAATCAAAATGGTAACCAAAAGCCAACCAGCAAATTACTTCCATTGATGTTGTCATGGGGTACATGCAGTGATCTTTTAGCTCTTTGCACAGAGGACAGTTTTAGAGAGCCCAATGGGGTGTTAAGTTGCCTTTGACTCCTATATCTATTAGCATTGACTGCCCACCCTGGAATAGATAACAGGATCCTATTAATAAGCAAATCCATCTTAGGAAAGTAACTTGCAGTGCTAAATATTTCTGCTGATTGGGAAATTACTGATTTCAATTTTTTAAAAATTTTCTTTGTTATTTATTTTTAAAAATCAGACTATGTTTAAACACTTCCGTACAGCACTCATCAGCTGCAAAACCTTGCCCACAGCCGGCACTCGTGGTCCACACGATTAGTTTGTGCTGTGCGTTGACGATGAATCCGTTTTGCTCTTGTGTGATGAGGAAAGCTTTAAAGCACTGAAAGCTTGTTTTACTTTACAGGCAGCTTTACTTGTAATGTACATCAGAATAGGTAACATATACATATATGTTTTCATTACGTTATTTTTAAATGTCCACAATTTTATTCTGATAAATGAAAAATTAGAAAAGTCATGTCACGGCTGTCGGCTAAAGTCGCTGTGCGTGTTCATCTGTGGCTATCGACTATAGTCATGGCTCATACCAAAGTGGTTAAGAAGGAAATTGTCTTGGGAGATACTTGATACTGATTTTCAACCCCAAGATGAATAGTAAATGATAGCTTGGGAGTTGACTTTGGTCTCCTTAACTAAGCCTAGTCGTGTTGCTAAATACAAAATATATACCTAAAGTCCAGACAGGTTGAAGAAGAAAGGGAAAGGAAAAAGAAGCATAAGAGCAGGGGGTGAGATGAAAGAGAGGAGAGATAAACCAAAAGAAACATAGCAAGTGATAGGGTGCCTTGATAACAAACACTCACTACCTAAGTAAAAAATGAGCTAGAAAAAAAATTGTTGAGTATGACCAGAAAAATATTTACCAAATTTTCCCCCTAAGAATTTGATTCTAGAGCATGGTTCTAATATTACGAGATTAAATGCCTGCCCTAAATTTGTAAGATTAGGCACATTCACTCTTGCCAAGTATTGAAATGAAATTCCATTAGTAATGCTTAGGTATTCACATTGCTGATAAAATAATCTTCTCATTAAATCTTTGTTAACAGGGCTGTGGCTTATTTGATAATTAGCTACTGTTAATGTATTTTTCATGTAACTAGTCAGACCCTTGTCACCAGAAATGAACCTGCCTTCTGCAGGAAATTGCACTTAGTGACCTGCCTCATCTTTATGATTCATTCATCTGCATAACAATAAAGGTAATTGTATTCTAAACAAGCATTAGAAAAAAATCTATTTATATATAAATATACTGATATTCTAGTCCAAAGAGTGAGATAACTACTTTTTTGCTTCATCGTTTAGGGCCTTTAATAATATATTCTCTTTTGCTCCCTTAAAGTTATTAACATTGGAACTCGTGTTGTCCAAAATAATTTATAGGTCAAATAGGAAAATCATTAATTTATTTGTGTCTGTTTTTCTAAAAGACCAAAATATGCATTGCTGGATGAATGTACCAGTGCTGTCAGCATTGATGTTGAAGGAAAGATATTTCAGGCTGCAAAAGGGGCTGGGATTTCCTTACTGTCTATAACGCACAGGCCTTCTCTTTGGTAAGTATTTCCAATGCTAATTTGTGGGAGACTGTTTTTCCTTAAGTTTCTTAAAGAATAACTTTGCTAAACTTTTTACAATAGAGCAGAAGGTATTCCACTTATTTTCTACCTGTATTTCTCTTAAGGTACACACTAGTTGTTTAGATATTCCCAACCTAATATCATAAGTTTAATGTGTTATTTGGAAATTATCATCACTTTCCAATAATTCTGAAAAGATGTAGAAAAATCCAGTAATTTATTTGAACTGAAAATATTTATTATAATCCCACAACATGTACTGGGAATGAATACACTTACATATTTTTATGCCTTTTTTTTTTTAGGCCTTTCTTTAAAACATAGGAAAATAAAATCTAAAGGAAAAATATACCACAACTTGATATTCACCCAAATAATTAAGCAGAGAAAACACAAGGGAAAAAAGCTTATATTTGTTTTGTTTTAAGGAAAAATTAACAAAATTTTTTTTAGAACAAAATCTCACAAAACCTAATGGGACCTTTAAAAAATGTGGATACTATTTTTACAATCCCCCTACTTTTCCCTTGATTCATTATCATAATAGTAGTTGAGCACTTATTCTGTACCAGGCATATTTTATTTAAGCCTCACAATGAGCCTATGGAATACAGGTAATCTTCATCTTACAGATGAAGAAATTGAGAACTAGAAAATTCATAAAAATAACATGTGATGACACACTCAGTACTGCAGCACACTGCTCTACTTACTATAAGGAATTCAAAATATATTTCATGCATTAAAAGTGTATTATATTTTCCCCATACCAACAAATGAGTAATTGTTGATTGTAAAAATTAAAATTGATACTAGTGTCTTAAGGGATAAAGAATTACATAAGCTTATTAAATTAGTTGATTCTTAGGTAGAATTATAGTTGTGTAATTATTGCTTTGCTATGCTTTATCCTATTTGTGAAAGAAGTCTGCAGATTGTTTCCAATGAGTCTCAGTTAAAATAGCAGTTTCTTTTAAATTCCTTTAGGACACACCCAGAATATTATCTAAGCTCACACTATAGAACACACCTTTAAATCTCAGGACATGAAACACGTACACAGTTTGTTCCTCCCACATAGAAATCAAAATGTTGTAGGACCAGAGTGATGAGCCAAACCATGATCATACACTGAAGGTGGAACTTGACCAAGACATGAAGGACCACATTCTCAATGTGCTCCTGGCTGTGGATCCAAGGCTAAGAAAGCCCAAGAAAAGCTGAGAATGAAATAAACAAAATGAATTTTTACCATTATTTCTCTTTCTCATTGTATGACCATCCTTCTTTTGTTTTTCATTAGCTTGGTTTTATCTCTGTTACTTTAATAGCAGATTTTTTCTACATGTTTCCCTTTTGACATAGAAATACATTGTTTTCAAGTTAATTTTGGTAAGCTTGCATCTGGAGGAAGGTCACATTTTTAGAAAGATCAAGAATCTAGAAGTATGTATATGGAAAAGATCATTAATCTCTGTTATATGTTATCAAATATGTGAACTTAAACCTTCAGCTTGACAGTGATTTTACTCGGTTAGCCATAGTTTAGCTTCTCATTTTACAGAATGTTAAAAACATCCAATCAAAAGGAAATGGGACCCAAATGTCCATCAATTGATGAATAGAGAAACAAAATGTGTAATACCATATAATGGAATATTATTCAGACCTTAAATGAAGTACTGATGCATACTACAACTTGATGAACTTTGAAGTCATTTTTTTGAAAAAGCTTAACTTTTATATGATTTTTTAAATTGACAGATACAATTATGTATATTTATGTACAACATAATATTTTGAAGTATATATACACTTGGAATAATTAAATCTAGCTAATTAACAAATGCATTACCTCACACAGCTATTGTTATTTTTTGTGGTAAGAACACTTAACATCCACAATCTTTGCATTTTTCAAAACTACAATATTCAATATATCATCATTAACTGTAGTCACTATGTTGTTCAATAGATCTCCTGAACTTATTCCTCCTAACTGTAATTATATTAATATATCCCTTGACCTACATTTCCCCACCCCTCCCTTCCCTCCTAACTACCCAGCCTCTGATAACTACTATTCTCCTCTCCACTTCTATAAGATCAACATTTTTAGATTCCACATATGAGTGAGATCGTGCAGTATTTGTCTTTCTGGGCCTAGCTTATTTCATTTAATGATATGTTCTCCAAGTTCATCCACATTGTTGCAAATGGAAGAATTTCATTCTTTCTTTTGGTGACTATATAATATTCCATTGTGTCTATGTACCACAATGTCTTTATCCATTCATCCACTGATGGTCACTTAGGTTGATTCTATATCTTGGCTATTGCAAGTATTGCTGCAATAAACATGGGAGTGCAGATATCTCTTTGACATATTGATTTAATTTTATTTGGATATATAGCCAGTAATGAGAGTGCTGGATCATATGGTGGTTATATTTTTAATGTTTTGAGGAACCTCCTTACTGTTTTCCATAATAGTTGTACTAATTTACATTCCTACCAACAAGTGCATAAGGGTTCCTTTTTCTTCATCTCCTCACCAACACTCGTTATTCTTTGTCTTTTTGATAGCCATTCTAAAGGAGTGAAGTTTTGATTTGCATTTGTGGTTTTGATTTGCATTTGCCTGGTGATTAGTGATGTTGTGCATTTTTTCATAAAATTGTTGGTCATTTGTGTGTCTTCTTTGGAGATATGTCTTTTCAGGTCTTTTGCCTGCTTTTCAATCAGGTTATTTATTTTCTTGTTCTTGAGTTGTTTGCAATCCTTCCATATTTTGGATGTAAACCCTGTATCAGATGTATAGTTTACAAATATTTTCTTCCATTCTGTGGGTTGTCTCTTCACTCTGTTGATTTTTTCCTTTGCTGGGCAAAAGCTTTTTAGTTTGATGTAATCACATTTGGTTTTTTTTTTTGCTTTTGTTGCCTATGCTTTTGTTGTCATGTCTAAAAATTCATTGACCAGACCAATGTCATGAAGCTCTTCCTGTATGTATTCTTCTCATAATTTCATAGTTTTAGATCTTACAGTTAAATGTTTAATCCATTTTGGGTTGATTTTTGTATATTGATATTTTGTACATTTTTGTATATCTCTCTTTGGCATGAGAGATAAGGGTCTAATCTCATTCTTTGGCATGTGGATATCCAGTTTTAGCAACACCATTTATTGAAGGGACTGTCCTTTCCCTGTTGTGTATCCTTGGTACCTTTGTCAAAAACAGTTAGCTGCAAACATGTGGATTTATTTCTAGGCTCTTTATTCTGTTCCATTGGTCTATATGTCTGTTTTATGGCAGTACCATTTTATTTGGGTTTCTATAGCTTTGTATTATATTATATTTTGAAGTCAGATAGTGTGATGGCTCCAGCTTTCTTCTTTTTTTTTTTTTTTTTTTTTTTTTTT